ACGGCACAGCCCAATTAAGCTGCCTTGATATCAAGCAGTGGAGACGCGCTCATAATCTCATTTGTTATCACACTGCTTTCCAACCAAGTGAGCCTGGTTTTTTTGACTGGAGAAATAGGAAAGTTGTTTCTCATGCAGTACAGGCTAATGGTTAGGAAGTTCTTCAATGAAAGACAGAACTAGCTCAAACCTTTCATGCAGGTGATTGCATAAAACATTTCCTATCTTCCTGAACATTCCAAATATAGCAGCCACTTTGTTTAGCACCGAAACCCAGTGAACTATCAGTTATTTGTGAAACTATGGTTGTAATGGGTTGAGGAGGGGAAAAAATATTTGAAGTGACTTTCAACAAAAGTGGTGAGATTTCTGCTTAAAATGCCTCATTTGAGAGGCCTCAAGGAATGATCAGTTTAAAGGCAACAAAATGAGAAGATTAAAAAAGCAATGCTCCCTAGAAGATGAAAGTACATCTTTATTTTGGCAATGATTGCAGGTATTTCCCAGGCATAGCCAGAGAATGAAGATCCAAACTATCAAGTGTAATAGGAGACTTACTCTAATTTAATAGAGACAGTGAGAAATTTGGAATATTTTCCTGTTACTGTAATGGGAAGTACAGAAGAAAGTGACATGAAAACTGATTTCCTGGAATAACAGGAAGATGTATTATGCTTTCAGATCTTTCATTCTGTGTTCTGTGATGATCAGATGGGGGAGATGTGGAATAAGGAGAAATTATTAACAGAATAAGGAGGGAACAGGTAAGATGTCAATTCATGTTAATGGAGAGACTTGCACTGACTTGCACTGGCCTTCAGATTGAGCTCCAATCATTTCCTGTAGGTGAAAAAAATAGTTTATTTGGTGGCTGCTTTTGCAGTTTTAGGTCTATTATGTATCTCAATGGGCTTATAAATTGTCAGTTTTTGCTATACAAATGAAATATTGTCCATATTGTGTGCAACCTACCAAAACAAAATAAAGATCTTTGTGTATTGTGTGTATATTTTTTTCCCTTTGTGCCCTGCCTCAGTGCATGAAATCAGCTCTAGCTGACCCAAGTGACTGCCTGTAGCTTTGCAGGTGGCAGTCATGGTGACTAAGAATAACTGCCAGCTTCTCTTCACAAGGGAATGGCCTCAGAACTCCCTGGTGTGAGAAGTGATGGTGCACTTCCATTACTAGGACTTGAGACTACGTAAAACAGAACATGAATTAAGGGTGAGGGTTGTTCTCAACAATATTATAGTGGAAAAAGAATCAGTTATAATTTCTGTGCCATCATTCAAATTGATTATTTTCTTCTTCCTTTAGAAAGATCAGAATAAAAGAACACTATTGAATATGCGTATATTCTAGTTAATAATTCAACAAACCATGTCTCAGCCTCATGTGCATCTGCTGTAAACATCAATAGGGCCAAACCCTCTTGACTTCATCTAAGTGAAGAGTATTTCAGTTGGCTTGTTGAGGCTATTTATCCCCAGTTTGCCTCAGAATGTTTTATAAAGACAAAATGTAACCTGGTTTGAATCAGCCGTTCGAACTGGAAGCTCAGACAAAAAGGGAAGATTCAGTTCTTCAAAGGAAGAAAAGGAATACTTAATATTTTTATTATATGCTTGGAGTTAAAGAATTGTAGTTAAGAATTACATTCTTCTGATCTGAAAACAAGTCTCTCTTTTTGAACAACATAAATGGTACACAGTTTAAAGTGTGTGCTGACTTTGTTTCCTTGCATCATAGATTTTAAAACCATTTTGTTTTAGCCTGTTTACTTCACAGTTGTCCTTTTCCCCCTGCCTTTTTTTGCATAATATATTGGTAAGTAATAAGAAGCAGCACTGCAGCTACAAGTTAATGGGAAACACAACTGCTTATTGAACCAGATCCCCATTATTAATTTAACAACTGAATACAAACCCTTCTGGCAATCAGTGCAATAATTCTGTTTCCTTGATTACTTAAGTTTGCCATTGGCTTCAGTGGAAGCTTAATCCAACCCTCAGAGGGGAGAAGTGCTGCTTTTTAACACTTGTAAAGATAGAACAAGCACAAGCCTAGTTCATTTATCCTGTATGCATTCCTTCTGTCATCTTTCATAGACATATACATCTCTCACATGGTTTTAGGAAGAGATTTAGACTGTTCTCTTTTTCATCATTTTCCTAATATTTTATGATTTGATTGGAATGCTAAATATCTGAAGTAAAGAAGCTACAAGCAATTTTTTGTAAGGAATTATCAGAGCTCCTAGTAAGTGAAAAAAAAATCCATCTTTGTCTTGGAACTGTATTATTCACTTCTTCAAGCAAGCACTGTAGCGTTCAGATTGGGTTGCTGCATAATGTGACCCGTAGAAACGTGCATATTTCAGAGCTGATCTGAAGAGAGGAGTTGCACCAGAGACTAATTTGGCCCAATAAGACTCTAGAGGGCACTCTTGGTATAGTAAAAGAGATGTATATTTTTCTGACTTAGACATCTCAACCAAATACAATCAGTATGAAATGTTACAACAGTTGCCTAAATGTATATGAAATATGAATATCTTTTTTCCTGTAAGATAACAACTCCCAATAACATAATGCAAACTCAAAATGTGGCGTATCTTCCCAAATTGTTGAGTAAGATACCCATGAGTACAGCACAAAAACCAAACAGCACAAAATATTTTGTTTCTCAGTTCTACCTGTTCCAAGCAACTCACAGTCCACATCATGCATTTAAAACTCCATGCAAAGTCTGCCAGAAGTCCTTTGCGTAGACCGTCAACTAAAATCCAATATACAGCGCAGATGCAAATTTAATGTCACTTTTTAAAAGATGTGTTTTGCTTTATAAGTAATTAATCTTTATACACAAGTTTTGACTATTGTCGGCAGAAATCAAAATTGCGTGCCTTCTAAATTTTTAATTGAGCAATTCTTAGATTAAAAAAATGCATTAGTCACTTTGACTATGTTTAATATTTTAGAAGAAGTTGTTCCGCGAGAAAACAAATCATTGGCAAATGAAAAACAATGCGCAGCTTGTAAGTACTTACTGTGCAAACTTTTGGAACATGTAACCTTTGTTTCTTTGAAGGCAAACAATATTGCAGGCTTGTTTCAAAATGGGAGCTTAGTTCCTGTTTAAGACTTTCATCCATATGTTTCAAAACATTTCGAAGGGAAAGAGAATTGTCATTCCCATTTTATGGAGGGGTGTTGCTTTCTCTGTTGCATACAGCCAATGTTACAAACTGGTCTGTGCAACTGATGGCAAGTCTCACAATCTGACCTTGGCCATTTTGGGCCCCCACGTAAAGAGGACAGAAGGTTTGAAGCAAAGTTGTGCAGAATGCAAGCTAGCTGCCATCCCCTACACTTGGCTTTCTTTATTCTCGACATAACTAAACTTCTTAGATGTCTCTGCCTTTGCCCTTGTACATTTTGAGGGGTGAAGATCTTTCCTCCTGTGGTTTTTGCTCCAGCCATAGAGTACTTCCCTGTGTCAGTTCTGCTTGTTTGTTCCCTTGTTTGGGCAGAATACTGAAACCAGCTGCCTGCCTGCCCTTGGGAGGTGAACCAGGAGTGGGCTCAAAGCCTCCCTGCAGGCTGGGATTTGTAGCCAAAAATATAGCTACATTCACTTAAAACATGTTCTGTCAAAAGGAGGTCACATTAAGAAAAAATCCAAGCTAGGTACAGACCTCTTTTTATCTGGTAAGAAAAACATTCACCCACAGCATGAGAGTTGGAATCTACTCCTTCCTTGGCTGGAAGGTTTTAAACCAACATCTTGCACAAGTCTGCTCTTCCTATTTGAGATGGCAAACTACTTGAAGAGGAAAGGAGAATGAAAACAGATTTGTAGGGCTAGAGAGCAATGAGAAGGAAAACAAGACATGTAAGGATTCCTGTGCTAACCATAAGCAGGCTGCAGCTCTCTACCTATTAGACTAGACAAGAAGTATTTGCAGAATAATTTTGCCTTTACTGTGGCATTATTACTATTTTTAACAGTATAAATCTATTCCTAGCCTGTGCTGGTACAACGCATTAAAGAAGCAATAGTGATTCAGTATATTGGAAATCTTATTTTATTTTCTGCTAGTGGATGTGTCTTCTGTGACTTTCACTGCTCACTGAAAGTACACAGAGAAGCTTTATCAAGTTAGAAGTATTTTTGGTTTGGATCCAGATTTCCTCATGATCTGTGCTTATACTGTTACACAGTCCCTCTGAATCTATGATCTGTAATCTCATAAATTACAAATAAAGAAACAAACAAACAAACAAAACACCCCTGCCTCCCATGCTATCCTTTGCTTACTGGGATATACCTTCAGAATCCCTCTGATGCAAAGGGCTCTTCCAGAGATCTTTTTCTGACATCCTATTTCTTAATTCAAGTTGCCATTGATTTTGTGTTATGCCTAATTAAGATTAATAAAAAAGAGCACAATGTTTAAAAGAAAATCACACTTTCAGATTTTCTGTTCTCAATTTCTTGCCAAGTTTACTAAAGCATCAAGCACAAATGCTAAGCTTATATTTTGAAAGGCATACATCATGTGAAGCAGCTAACTAATTTTTTCCATTGATTTTGTTATTCTAAAGGGAGCAGCGTTTACTAAAGACATAGTGCTTTTAAAATACAATCATTTAAAAATAATGCAAGTAAGCTTCTTACGTGCAAGATCCTCAGTTTTCCCCAAGAAGGGGAAACCCAGCAGCCTGTGCTGCCCCTGGACATTTCCTTTGGTGGTACCACAGTAGAAGAGCAATTGTGCCTGGCCTGGAGTTTGTTGGAACTTTGGTTCTTCTCCATTGGGTTTGCAGTAGATGTCAGTTGCCTTCAGCTGTTTCTGCTGCTCTGTTGAGACACATTGCCTTTCTTTTCCAGTCTTGCTGAAAGAATTAATCACGGTATATTGATCTCAAGTGGTGATTGTAAATGACGATGTGTAATCAAATTGATCTATTTTCCAACATGCATTGTTACTGTTACAGTTATTGGCACTGAGACCATCCTTCAGCTGACAGCTGTGTTTTGGTGTTTCGTGATCTCAAAAAGCGTATCAAGAAGCCTCACAGTAGAAATGTCCTCAAACATCCCTTCTGTAAAGTTGGTAACACGCACTGAGGAGTCAGATGCTGCTTTAACTTGTTCTCCAATATGAAATGCCATCCTGCAAAGTTCAGTGCTTGCTGTAGTTGCAGATGTTGCTGCATCTTGTTTGTTTGGAAACCAGTGTTTCCAGAAGCACTGTCAGTATATTCAGGTAAGAATGAGTACAGCTTGGCAGAAGTGAGGTATGATGTCTATGTACACTCTTGATGTACACTAAAAATTCTTAGCTATAGGTATAATTGCATTGGCCTTTACAAGGTTTTCACTGGGCATAACTTTGAACTCCATCTTTTCTAATATTCAAAACTCACATGAGTATAAATATAAACAGTGATGACAGCTTCATCTCTTGAACATAGTTTCTTCTCCAGGAAATGGAATACTTCCAGGGAGAAAGAGAAAGAATTTAGAGACTTAGGTCCTCAATGAGAAATGGAAACAGAATACGTGAAGCACCTGACAGCTATTATAGGTATACTCAGGTATTAACATGAGCTCAAAAAAGTTGCCGATTTCACAGTCAAAGTCATTCACACATTCGGGTGTGCTGAGACCTTGTGCTGTGGCAATGAACCAAGGATTTCCCCTTATAAGCAGAGTAACCGACAAATAGCCACAGCTGATGATATTCCAGTGTAAATTAAGAGAGAGGTAAATCACTGTCAAATTAAGAAGGTTGAAGGAGTGGTTCAGAAGTTCAGCTCCGCTCTCCGAAAGTGTGAAAACACAGCAACGAGAATACAAATGAAATCCACAGGGCTCCTCTTAGGGGTCATTAATCTTCATACCATAGTAAAACGGCAAGCTCTCTCCAATGCACACTGAGAAAAACTACAAAGAGATGTTAGTTTTGAACAGTGTAAAACCTCACAAAGGTTTAGATATGCTTTCTCTTTAGATATGCTGCGGCAAGCCATTTAAGGGGCTTTCGGGCCATGCTAGACCTGAAACACAAGGGTTATCACTGGAACAAATTCAGGAGACCTCTAGCTGGCTCTTCTCTGTACAAGGGCAACACTGGCTGGCAAAAGGCTAAGGAGTACTCTTTTCAAGTGTAAGAAAACTGTCTCAGAGAATGATTAATTGGGAAGGAGTGGTAATTCTTCTATCATGAACATGCTAGAGGATTAGGTGACTTGCTCCTCCTTGACAGGGTGGAAGATTATTCGCGGTTGAAAAGTCTTGAGTGCTAGCAAGGTCAGCATTATTACTTTTGTTAATCTCAGTGTGGTGCAATGTTTCTTATTTAATGCTTGTTATTTGTATAACTTTATGCTGTGTAAAAAATAAAAGAGCTACTGCCTAAACTTCCAATTATGGTGTGACAGAGATAATGTGAATGGGATACGGCAGTGGGAGGCTGCTAGCCCTGATGAATTCCTTCTTTATACCTTCTGATGTTAAGCACTTGTCATCTTGTTTATTCTCCAAAATTACTAATTACTAAAATGCAGTCACATAAAAGCAAAATGGAAAGACCACCCAAGCACTTCTACAATTTTCTTTTCTGGTGTATTCGACGGATGCATGAGTTCAAGATAAAGTAGAGTTGTGAACTCTGCTCCCTACAAGCTCTATGATTCATCAATGGAGAGCACTGAGCCTCCAAAGGAAGAGGCATTTCTACAGCAACAAACAGATGGCATTTATCTTCGACATAGCTTCAAACTCTATGCCAAACCTAAATGTGATGGTCTGAGCACAGTCAAGTACGCCATTTAATTCATTTTACAGTCCTTTTATTTGTGGGAAGTAATTCTTATTTTAACATTAAAGTGGGTCAAATATTCCCTGTAAAAGTGATCCAAAACATCCAGTTGTATATCCTAGTCTTGCAAGAGATGCCATAATTATATATAACCATTTATTTCAATTCCTTATTTGCTGGCTCAAAATACTGGAAACCATTAGTATGTCATATGGAGGAGATCTGATCTAGGAACTTTTAACAGTATTAATATCCACAGAAATTTATTTTGAACCTGCCCAAAAATCAGCTTTGTTCACTGACAAATCTGATTTTTATGTACATTCAAAAAGGTTGGTTGAACAATAAACAAGGCACCTATGGCTACTCCTTGTGACAGCACAGCAGAGAAGCTGGAGGCCTGGGATGCACAGCAAGCAGCACTCCAAGCCTAATGACCGTAAGAGAGAGTACAACCTGTTTGATATTCCATCAAATCAAAGTAGGAGTAGCTGATACGTTAATGAGGCCAACTATTATAGACAGAAAAATCTTTGCTTTCCTCTTGGTTTTTAATTACTGTCCTGGGACAGTGACCAGGAAGAACATGCGTACATCCTTCTCCTCTATCCAGTACCATCAGGAAGATAACATTTTCTAATTCTGAAGGAAACACAATAAGGCACAACAAAAATAACATCTACATTTTCCACATTCTAGCTTAAAACATTTCTACTGATTACTAAGATCTATGCAATTGGTTATTTTGCATTTTTTTTCCAGTATATTAAAATCATTTTAAGTCTGCTGCTATCTTTGGATTCACTTTCATTATTCATCATTTATTTATTGTCAACTTTTCCTCATTTCTAAGCTGTTGCATGATGGGATTCTTGGTGTTTCTTTCTTTAACAGCTTTTTTTCACCGTTTTTCCCCACAAAATTTGGTTGAACCCAAGACTTGGTATTTCAATAGTTATGTAAAATAGGGAGAAAAGAGATACAAGGGCTGCTCTGAAAGTAATGGCTCCTGTTATAATTTGTTGGTCTACAGTTTCAGAGGCAGATGTTGGTGGTAAGGCAGTAGAGGTTGAATAATCCACTACATGTTGCCATATGACAGATGGCAGCAGAAAGCAGTCTGACACAATGGTGTCTGACATGGAAATGTGGATGAAGTAAAGGTGTGTCATTGAATTCCACTACGTGGAAAAAAATGGCACTCACTGACATTGATAAATGTTTGCTGAACGTTGATGGAGACCAAATAGCAGATGTGAACATAGTGAAGTGATGCTGTGTTTCAGCAGTGATGACAGTGACAGTGGTTCACCTCTGCTGGTGCAGATTCTTACAAGTGTGGCATGCAGGCTCTTGTTCATCACAGGCAAAAATGCATAGCTAGTGGTGGTGGCTATGTTGAAAAGTATTGTTTTGTAGCTGAGATTTGATCTATTATACAGTGTTATTGTACTCTCTGTATCTGCAGTAGTTCCCATGAATGCAAGGCATTACTTTTGAAGTGACCTACATAGCTTATAATGTCTTCACTTTAGAAGTGTTGCTCAGATGCTTTTTGTCTTGAATGAGTTTTATTTTCTTTGAACTACGGCATAAAATTTGGGGTCAATCAAGTTTCCGAAGGAAGAGAATTGTGCATTAAGAACATTAATTTTTCTTTTTGCCTCAGAAAGGCTTTTAACGCTTCTGTGCCGTCAACAATAAAATATGGAGCAAAAGGGTAGGAACATTTAATATACTGGAGCTGAAACTAAAACTTGGACAATGAAGCACGAAGTATGCTTGATATCACAGGGAAATAGAATTAACAAATAGGTAAGACAGAGGAAGTATGTAAAAGAACAATATTTATGAATAAAAGTATGCCATGATGACTGAATCTTGAGGAGGACAAAATTAATGATGGAATGCATTTATGAAGAAATCTGTTACATCGTGTATGATGATCAGAGCACCTAGGGATGTATCATAAAAATCTCTTTCCTCCTCTGAAATATTTCAAAAGCGATACATAACTGGATTGCATGTAGAATACTGAGGGCTTTTGAGATATGGGAATTGAAAGTATTATAAATCAATTAAAAATTACATTCATTACACTGTACTACTTGATAGTGTGATATACTTGCATCTTTTAAAAGAAGAATTCATTTCTGTTTTCAGTGACAAGCTTTTCTTAAGGAGAAACCATAACAGCAAGAGAAACATAAGGAGATTCTATAACCTTGTAATCACACTTGTCATACACAGTGTACTATTTTCCTTCTTTATAGCAGAAATGCTCAGAAGTAATATATAGTAGATGCTTCAAATTATGTTTTCTGTGACAGAAGTTAATTCTAAAGTAAGTATTCCCTGAAAGAGAAACAGAGAAAACATTTTTACATGTCTGTCATTTGTCCTTAGAGGACACAAAACAAATACGTTTTTTAAAGCTTGACACTGGTATTATTCTGTGTGGCCCCCGGCTATGTGCTTTTTCCAGTTTGTAGAATTGAAAGGACAAAAAAACAGCTTTGCATTAAGAGGAACACATTGTACAGGTTAATCATAACCATGCAGAAATCAAAATGCTGCCAACAAAATAATGGCGAACCAACGCCAAGGGAATCACCGAGATGGCTGTGAGGGAAGCAATGGGATAGCAGCAACTCCTTTGCATTGTGCAGAAGTATTTCAGGCATGTGCTCCCGAATTTATTATTGATGTGGCTGGAACAGAAGTTTTTACTACTGTCGACAATAGCAAATACTCGTAAAAATTTAATTGGATAAAAGTTAATTTCAGTGTTCTTCAATGATGAAATGCATTAATTGCAAGGAGATTTTTCTTTTTACATGTTTAAATTTTAAAAGGAAATAAAGTAGAAAAGCAGAATCAGGCAGGGGAATTTAACAAACGTAAAGATGTTGACGGGAGTGAGAATCATTACTTAGTCAATATTGTATCAATTAACCAAATTAACCATAGTCCCTGGTGAGAACTACATAGAACGGCACAATTTTCTAGTTTGTCTGAGTCATTCATGTTGTATGTAATGTATATCTACATTAGTGTATACAAATCAGACAAACTAAGAAGCAGTGTCACATAAAATCATAGAATCTTAGAATTGCTCAGATTGGAAAAGACCTTAAAGATCATTGAGTCCAACCACAACCTAACCATACTACCCTAACTCTAACAACTCTCCACTAAATCATGTTCCTGAACACCACCTGCAAACGATTTTTGAACACATTCAGGGATGGTGATTCAAGCACCTCCCTGGGAAGCCTATTCCACTGCTTAACAACCCTTTCTGTAAAGAAGTTCTTCCTGATATCCAACCTAAACCTCC